GTGTGTGTGTGTTTGTGTGTGTGTGTGTGTGTGTGTGTGTGTGTGTGTGTGTGTGTATGTATGTATAAAGGCTGATTTGAAAGGAAATTAAAGTATGTTTAATTTGTAATAATTGAGTAGAAAAGTATGAGAGATATTTTTTAAAATATTTTTTAAAATAGAAAACACTATTTATGGTTAGTTACATATTATTCATTTTATTTTAAACAAACGAATTTATTTTTCATAATAAATTTACATTCCCTGAAAATATAAGCTGGTTTCGCCTCTACAGGTAATCAACGAGACTCCCAGATAAAAAATGCGTCACGGACTTGTGAAATATGTGATCAATGAAATCTCTTCCGCCTTGTTTTTGCACTTTCTGAATGAAGAAAAAAATTATCTCAGGTTTACATAACAGACAATCAACGAGATCTTCTTTCGTGATGTTGCGAAAAAAAAACTAGCCTTGCCTAACAGGTGATTAACGATATCTTCTTTTACATCTCTGATGTTGTTGACCTCATTTTATGTGAGTTTTTTTCTTTCATTTTAGTGCTTAGGATCTAGTCATAAAATTTTTCTTTTGACTATCCTAGAAGATTAGAGATAGAACCCACTTACAGAGAAATTCAAACCACTTCGTAAATCTCTTTGAAACTCTATATGTATTGTCATAAACCACCAACGCTTAGAAGGTTAGGACCAACTTGTGAGGATTGAAGCATGAGTTCCATTAGGGTCTGCAACCCCTAGGACAATCTCAGTTGATATGGTTTATTCATGCACTCACAAAACCATTTAACTTGCACAACTTGTGTAGACTCTGGAATTCACATCACCCAAAGCCCTAAGTAAAAATAAAAGAAAAATAAAGAAAATCCTTATTTTTAATTCCTAAAACTAACTCACGCTCAGGCCCCACATCTCTCCCCTCCCTCACTCTCTCTCTCTCGGCCGACATTAAAAAAAAAAAAAAAAAAAAAAAAAAAAACAAAAGAAAAACCCTTCTCCCTACTCTTCCTCCACACATTCCCACACCTCTCCGATTCCTCCGCCCCCATCCCCTCCTCTCACTTCACAGCCGCCCAAGAACCTCTCCCTACTCTATCTCCTTCTCCTATAAAAGCAGCCCAAGTCTCCCTACTCCCTCTCCAACAAGAACCGAGCAACAAGTCACTTCCTCCTCTTTTTTCTTCTTCTCCGGCGAGCCGACCTTCCTCCGGCGATCTTCCCTCCGGCAAGCCTTCCTCCCTCCACCGAAGCTCGGATCGGGTACTCCTCCCTCTCTCTTCTTTTTCTTTCTCGGCGCATATCTGGTAAGGGCAAAAAAAGGAGGAATTTTACATACATACTTCCCAATTCCTATGTATTTGCATTTTTAAACTTACATGGATACCACTCAATTTTTATATATTTTCATGCGAGGAAGGCATAAAAAAAAATACATAGGAAAATTTACATGCATACCAGTCAAATTTTTTGAATTTGCACGCGAGACAAAAACGCGAGAGAGGGAAAGGAATGTTTACATGCATACCACCTAAAAATTAAATGATAATAATAATAATATTATTAAATAATAAATAATAAAGATAATGATATATTTCATGCTCATAATAATAATAATATAAATTTATAATAATAATAATAATAATAACAAAAATGATAATATATTCAAGTGAATATACGTAACTAACAAAAAAAAAAATATAAATATATAATAAATAATAAGAATAATAATAATAATATGTATTTAAAGGTATGTATAAACAAATAATAATAATAATAATTTGTTTAGATTAAATAAATTCAAAATAAAATAGTCTTTTAAATGAGTTAACCCATGGTTGCTAGCGAGATCTCTCAAGTTTAAATGAGCTTAACAACTCGTTTAGACTAAGTAAACTCAAAAGAAAATAGTAATACCGAAACAAGAGAACCGTGAGATCCTAACCGCCGTCGCTCTAATCAACTTTAACGCCCCCCACTTGAACAACAACAAAACTTAACATGAAACTTATAAAACTTGATACCCCAAAGACCTGAAGTTGTCACTTCAACGAGGAGCTTAGAGCTAACACTGTGGGCGACATGACAAGGGTGAACAGAATGACAACTTCGAGAGAGCAACCAGATCTACATCAACATATCTTTCTGTAAAATAAATAGCAATCCATAGGATTTCGAGGTAATCCGTCTAGTACGACGTAGATCCTCAACTCATTTTTTAGACTTTTGCACAATCATGTTGTGCAATTTAAGCCCTACATCGCCTTTGGTTCTAAGGTTGTCGTTCGTTACGACATAAACCCTCATATCTTTCAGATTCTTTGTATGGTTATGTCATGCAAGTGTAAGCTCTAAGTAAATAAAATTAGCAACATGAAACATCATGTACCTTTTTCTCAAAATTGAAGCCAAACAATAAAATAGTTTGAGAGGTCACTGAGGTTCCCCTCGGGTCAGTGACATCTCCTAACTATTATTCCTTTGGATTTTTAAAAATAATTGTTCCATTTTGATCCATTCCCTTTTGAACTTCAAAAGTCCAATCGTGAAAAGCCAAAACTATTAATTTCTTGAAAGTAAAACCATTGATCTTAATCGAGAGTATTTTTAGGTGACTTTGGTCATCTAAGATGTAATTAACTATAGGGGTTTGCATTTATGGGGAACTAAAAGAACCCAACTTAATATAAACCCTATTTAATCTTCCATATTAAGTAGAGGAGCTTGTCGGCTTATAAAAAAATAGTTTCGCAGATCAAACGGATGTCATAGATTCTTTCGTTTATTTAATCGAGTCTCACCATTCAAAATGATGTATCTACCTTTTTGGATAAATGCATTGTTTGGTGATGATGTCATTCAGTCAAAACTATTTTATTAACGGCCGACAACTATCTTTTTTGAAAAAGGAGAAAATTTTCATTTAGTGGCAGGCATACAAAAAACCTTTTGCTTAAAAATATACAAAGTGAACAAATCTCTCTCAATTAGAAATGTAAAATTTCTTAAGGTTGTGCCCGGAAACGTAAAAGTATTAGATGGAAAAAAAATGAAAGATCCCAAGATATGAGGCATAAATGCTCACTTACCGTAGGGAGTTCTGTTTTTTAACATCATCATGAATTATAGACACTAACGAATACAAATATTTTTAGTGATTGCTCTTATTTTATCCTACAATTTGGTTGGTTCTTTCGCTACAACAATTTGTCTTTATTTACATTGAATGAAATTTGTATTTATGCAAGGGGGTACTCTGGGTACTTAAATGATACTTAGGATACTCTACTTGGGAGTACTCTCAAATCCGCACCTAATATTCTCTCTTTTTATACAGCTAAAAATACTTTCGCTCGCTCCAAGTAAGAGTAGTTCAATTTTTATGTATTTACTTATCTATCACCCAAACTTCAATTTTACATGTAATATCATTTTTTGAAAGTTGATATGATGTTAGTTTAGATGTGTTATGAAAGATTTGGATGCTATTAATATATGAAGCGAAATTTTAGATGTTAGATGTATAAATACATAAGAAATGTGTGGTATGCATGAAAATGCTCCCATTTGATTTGATAATTAGCCAGTTTATAACTCATTTTATATGGTCATTTTTTTTATCAGGATAATGTGATAAAAGAAAAATACTTATAATATTTTTTTGTCAATTTCTCTTTAACCAAGAAAAATATTTGAAAGTAAGTTTAATTCCTTCGGTCATTTCTTTTGAGTTCAGTCTGTACTGTTCACACTGACCAAAATTGGTACATTAAAGTCAACCTTTTTTTTTTTAATAATTTTACTTTTGACTAAATTTATCTTAAATTACAAATTTATAAAAGTTCTTAAAATATTAATATTAATAATACTTATAAATTTATCTTAAGATTTTAAATATTATATATATAAATATATATATATATA